GCTCCTCTCTGGCCCAGGCAACACCTTGCACAGTGCTCCAATCCTCTTTTGTTGCTTGAAAGATCATTGATATTTTCCCCTTGATGAATAGCTATTCAACTCAGTGTTTACCCGTGGAATTCAGCCACCTCTTCTACGGAACCTTCTACCCAAAATACATAAAAATAAAAATGGTAGCAATGGAAACTGCGTGCGCGGGAAAAAGTCTCGAAAAACCTGCAGCCCCAGCCAGGCGAGGCCTAGACACCGGGACCACATGAGGTGCGCATATTCATCTATATCTCCCTTATTTGTAACAGTCGAGGTCGACTTGATCCAACCCGCCATCTCCGTATCGAGTGCTGGGTATGCTCCGGAAACTCATCGGATGGCATCTCCTCCATGATCAAGGGTTGGTGATAAGTAGGGCTCCGACCCTACCATCTGATCTGATCGTGGTTAGCTTCATGATAATGGTGATAGGGGAATGTGTTAAGAGATGAAGACGATACAGACGGCGAAAGCGATTGGGAATCGTCGTCGAAGTGAGGACTTTGTTACTCAATCTCGGCTCTGCAGACTCTATAGTGAGAGCTGGAGGTTCGTAGGGGACACAACTGTCAGGTGTTGAGAATAGTCCCCCTTCTACTCGTACCACGATCGTTTCAAACGCGAAAATGCGCACAATCATTGCAGCTGCGGAAGATTAAAACCTCCCAGACACGTATTTCAATGTAGTCTACCGTTTAAAACCCTCCAAGAACTCCCGAACCATTTCCAAATAAGTTTTCATGTCTTTTTGGTACATTTAAAGGGGCTGCTAGAACTACCAAGTGACTTAATGGAACAAGTTTCTTCACGGAAATATGTCATAGATCTCCCCCACCACGATTACAAAATCATCCTTAAAAACCCCTGATATCTTACACACGAGAAATCATGAGATAGGTGTACAGGACAGTGTTTCCTTCCTTATAAAGCTTCAAGTAGCAACAACTCAATTTTCTGCATAATCTTTTGTAACTTCAGTTTGTACCGTAGATTGGCGTTTTCATGGCTTGCAGATGTTAAAAAAATGCGGCCTCCGACAACAAGTCCCTTGGCCCTTCCACTTTTTTTGCTGATTTTAGGTCCTAAGCTTTGCTTTATATCTCTTGGGAGTCAAGGACCGGTGTGCACGGCCGAGATCATGCTTCCCATCTGCCCAACTTTGTCTCACCGCGTGAATCACTACACAACAAGTAGCTAGTTATAAGAAAGAAAATAAATGCTCTCACAAACTCCCATAACCAAAATTCCAAACCTAATAATCCTACCTATCATGGTTCGTGCAATGATCTAGTTAACGCCGTCTCCGCTGAGAGCTGGAGACGAACTCACAGGTGGGCCCCCGAAGCAGCCGGTTTCCTACGCCAATATTGTAAAGTTCTCGAAACACTTAGGCCCGAGAAGCTTATAGGCAAAATCGTAATGTGACATTGTCCCTCAAACTCGACACGTCTGGCGTGCGTGCAATCGACAGTGAATGAAGTGGAGAGGTGATGTTTCTTCTCCTCCCGCACACTCCATTGGAGCGGCGAAGTTGTTGAAACGGCGGTGACATGTCGCGAAGTTTCCGTAGCCCGTACGGCCTGAGATCAATTCATAGAGTAGCTATTGTGATTATGAGGAGGGGAATTGCATACAAACAGTGGCTTTATCAATATGTGCTTGACACTATTATGAAGTAGGCGATGATATGTGTTCGCTTTATTAGATTCGTTTCCTGATGATTGCTATCTATATGGAGGAGAATACTCCTATTTATACCTAAAGCTCATCTATCTAATTGCTAGTAGAATATTCCATCTTGTGATGTAAGATATTCTATCATATGTTATAGAATAGTTTACATTCTTGTTCACACCATCCACATGCAACTGTTATGATGTCACTACACCAACCAAATCTTGTATAGATCTCTATATCATCTAATACAGCTTGTCTAATTGGCTGAGTGATTTCACATCATAACAGTAGCCGCCAGGAAAGTGTCCGCTCGCGTGGCTTGCGTTATCGCATGAGAAGATCCAGATTTCGATGCCTATGTGGATATGCTTCTTCCCACCATTCCTCGAGAAGCGCTTGTCGTTTCCGGTTCACGAGCCGACGAACGTACGCCAACGTCACGGAGCTAGGCTAGCTTTCTTTGCTTGGCAGTTTTCGGATGCCGGAGTGTGCAGCTCTATCGGCCTCTTCGTTCCCTTGTATCCCGGAGTATGTCGGTATCCAATTCACTGAGGATCGAGCCTTTTTAGGTATCGCCCTAAATTGGTGTACGTCGTCTAGGCTTGTTGTGGAAGTTCCTGTCGACAGTGCCTTCACTGTATAATGACTGTCCGTCAACACGTTGATCCGCTGCCTGCCGTAACTTCCCCCGTTCTCCCTCTCTACCAATCCCAGCGCAGCTTTTAGTGCATTTCTCGCCCCTACGACTTCCACATCAAACACTTCACCACCATGCTTGATGCCACATCTCTTCAATAGAGTTTTCCATCCTTCTTCAAGATGAGCCCCCATGCTAAGCGACCACTCCCCTCCGACGATCCATCCGGGTAGGCACAAATATCTGATGCTGGCACACTGTTAAAGAACCGAGTTACCTTGTCTTCTTCCTCTATCCTTGAGCCGAATCTCGAAAGATAGCATGGCGGCGGCAAAGGCTCGGCGTCTTCCACGTCCGGAAGTTTTCGGTAAGCCCGCTGTACCCGTGACATGTGGATCTCTGGATTCTTGTGCATCCGAGTACGTTTCTTGTACTTCCTTGTTTTATCGTTTGGACACATGGGGACACCAGTCCGGAGCGGCTGGCGGTTTTCTATTGAGTGAAGCCGAGCCGAAAGTTTTAGTCGGTTCCCTTCTAGAATGATTTTCCTGGTTGGGATACCTCCTTTGCGGTGGAGAACAATATTCGGTGTCGTACTCATTACCGGGAGGACAGCGCACAGTCCCGTCAATATTGCCTTATCGATCATCTCGCAGAAAGTGTTGGTTCTAGGTGTGCTGATCCCTCTTTTGGTCGGACGTTTGAGGCCGGGCCACCAAAAATCTGCTCCAAAGGTTGCTATGAGGACAATGTACGTGTCCACTGCTCGAACCAGTGCTGCAAGAGCAGCTCCTTGATACGCTGAGTTGAAGCGGCGCATGTGCTGGGTAACCTTCAGAGCTTAGCCACACCACGTCGTGACGTGATGTTTGAAGTCCATTCGCGGGTCTAGGTGTACTCCAAGCCAGCGTATTTGATCTGCTGACTCGATAGCCACGCCGTTCACACGAATGCCCACTGGCTTCTCACGTTTCCGTCTGGAAGACTGGACTGCCTCCGACTTGTTGGTATCGAAGGTGACTGCGTTGTTACTCGCCCACTCAGAAGATGATCCACTTCCTTCTATACAGAAGCTGCCGACTCGGAAATGCTGCGCCCAAATCTTAGTATCCCGAAGTCGTCAGCGTAGCTGAACCTCATTTCTGGATTGCCGCTTCGCATAGGCTCTGCCATGTACAAAAGGAAGAGAAGCAGCGATCCCTGCGGGGCCCCACACACCAGCTCTCTCTGCCCAGTTATCCCTCCTGTATATCGAACTTGCACCTTTCGTTGCGCAAGAAATGACATCGTCCATCGGAGAATTGAGTCCGACCACCCCTGCTCTTGCATCTTTCTCACCATACGGTTGTGGAGTACTGCTTCGAACACGCCTTGGACATCCAGAGTCGAGAATGTGGCCGCCCATCTCTGGGTGCTTGCCTCTTCGATGTCATGGATTACACAGGTGACAAGGTCGTTTGCTGATCTCTTAGGGAGCGCACCAAATTGTTGGTATTTGATAACATCGAGCGTAACCGCAAGATGGGCCATCCGCTTCGCCAAGAGTTGTTCCAGTCCCTTGCCCAAGCATGACGAAAGAGCAATCGGTCTCCAGCCCTTAACTGTTGTTGAATCCCGGTTCGTCTTGCGTAAGAGCTTCACTTTAGCCAGCTTGAAGCAGGATGGATGGGTGCCAAGTCTGATGCAAGCGCGGAAGAGAGTGCCAACAAATGGTCCAATCGTCTTGTAACATGTTAGCAGAAGCTCCACAGAGATCCCGTCAGCTCCAGACGCTGTGTTGGCGCAGCTTATGGTGCGCATGCGGATCTCATCATCCGAGACATGGTCGTTCCGGGGAATTCGGTTAGTCCTCGGCGCATCGAGTGGCGGTAGGACGTCCGATGCTTGGTGCCGTGCTAAAAGAGCATCTCGGAGTATACCTTCCCTTCATGGTTGAGTGGAGGGAGGGTACTTGCCTGCCTTGGCTCGGCCGAGCGCATCAGCTTGATCACGTCAGTTGATATCGTGATCGCTTCGACTTGACGCTTCTGGTGCTCTTTCCTTGCCGCTCCGAGGGTTGAACGCAGCCTCTTCGCATGCACCCATCGTCGCTCCGGAGTCACTGCTGCACGATATTCAGTGTGAGCTAGCTTGCATTCTGGAGTCCACCAAGGCGCACATTTGCCACGTCTTCTGTTCCTTCGTATTCCTGCAGCTTTAATAGCGTTAGTAATGCCGAAACAGAGATCGTTGGCGTATGCTTCCGCCTTGCGAACCGTGTCTAGGACTAGTGGCGGGTGCGTCCGCTGCGATGCGGCAGGCCATTCCTCTTTGTTTGGGTGGCCGAGTGCCTTAGGTACTAGAGCAGTTAGCTCTAGCATCCTTTACCATTAGCTGTAGTTAGCGCATGTGAGCGGCGACCCGTGCTATATAGTCGTAAAATACCACAAAACAAAACAAAAACAAATTCTACCTTCCGGGTCAGCCAGAGTAGCACACCATGGCACTATCCGACCATGTTGCAAATGACACTTAAGCTGTAGCCCAGCAACCTTGATTGGGACTGTAATCATTAACTACAGCATCAGCAATATCTCTGATGTAAACTGGGCCAACTAATGTAGAGTTCATCTTTCAATCAGACAGCGAAACACTCAAATTGAATAATTTCGCCATCATGGCATCAACACCTGGTAGCCAGGAAGATATTCCTTTATTGCCTATGCCTTCGCCAAATCCACTGCCGCTATCATCGGCGCAAGAAGCCCAGGTGCGCGAACTCTACTATGCGCGGGTCCGCGGCCATTGCGCGGCTGAAATCAAAGGTATGTTTTCTCTGCATCTCCCTTTTTGTTTTTAAGCCCCATCGGCACACATTGGCTCAAGACGATGGTCTCTATAGCATTCGCCGAATGTGCACTTGGCCGCACGATCACAGCCTCCTTTACCTGTCGATCCCAGCGTCGACAAATGAACAGTTGTATGATATCCTTTGCCACGGTAGCTGAAGAGGATGCGGCGCGCGAAGAATGGTTTGCCACACGCCTCCGCCGCCAACGCGAACGTGAAAAGAAGGAAGAGCGGCGCCTCGAACAGGAAAAACTACACCGGGAATGGTGGGGTCTGCCTCTCGATGAGCGAAAAGCTGCCAAGGGCCAGGAAGTTCAGAGGAAAGCCGAACGAGTCGGTGGATTTCCCCCTTCCCGGGAAAAAGATCAATCCGTAAAGGATCATGAACGCTGAGCAAATCTTATATCAACAAGAAACCCTTGTGTGAGAATACAGCGGCTCATATAATCAACAAAGTATACTTAAAGAACAAGCCTTTCATAGGATTTGCAAAGGGTTAGTCACATAGCCGCGAGGAATACAATCTGGAAGCAAAAACCAGTGCACGAAGTCTTTTGATGTTTTAAAATCAACTGGTAAAACGAATGCTGAACAGTTTTATCATGCTGGGTTAGACTTTGAAATAAAATCCAGCAATTTTCTTTGAGTTCAACCAAGACGAGATCTTTACTGTAAACTATATAATTGGTAGGCAAAATACAGAAAATTATGCTATTAATCACATCAAGGGTCGCGCTAATTCAAGCAGCTATAACCTTTAAGATCCGACCTTATAACAGTATATGGCTTCAGGCTCCGGCTATGGGCCTGCTCAGCTAAAAACATCTGCATTTCACGGTGGGTTAACAGCTCTGCGGTCAAGAGTCACCCTCTATCAGGATAAATCTTTAAGCTTAGGAATGTAAAGAGGATCACTTTGTGTTAATGAGCAATGTAGCATTCGTTTTTGTTCTTAGAGGTGTGATGAAGATTAATTAACATTCTTCATGGAATAAATTAAGTCTTATTTTCAGATGATCGTCAATTATTAGCTGCACCACTCACGAGAGTCTCTCCTGACAATACAAATTATTCTATGGAACACTACAATAGCACGAAATACATGACTTCCGGAATGGCTTACTGTTAACATTAGACATTATTCTTTTATTTTATTTTCCTCTCTGAGTCTATGACTATGTAGGACATGCAGGTCCTCTCTGCCTACAGGCCAAGGATACCTATGCCAGTAGTATATCCCCTCCTATGCCTCCCATACAGCTCCCCTCGTACAGTATCACTCCTCGCAAGTCCTCATTCGATCATACACTTAGAGCAACCCTTTGCCCTTCATTATCTCCCCTCTCCAGCCAACGAAACGATGGCCATTTGCGGGTGGATGGCAGCCGGGAAAAATCGAGAAAGCCACTGGATACGTGGCTCTCCTAATACCGACATTAGGACTAAATCCGAAGACATAGTACCCCTTCTGAAGCGTTCGAAGAGGCTGGTCAGCTTTAGGATCCAAGATTGACAGACCTCTAGATTAGTACGAAGCTCTGATAAATTGTTATGCTTAGGTAATGTTGTTCACGTTAGAGTTCAGGCGCAAGATAAGGAATACTGTATTTAAATAGACGATACCCTGTATTGATTGGAAATCAAGTTACATCTAGCCTTAAGCTCTACTATACATATTGGTAGTTTGGAGCCACGAGACACCCGTAACCCATACTGTTGAGACTTAATATGTACATTATTATTACGGGATAAATAATATATGGGTCACATATTTACCTGACTGCTAGTGGTCCCCAGTTGGGCAGGAAGTCTGCATGACATGTTGTGTTATGGAAGACAGATCACTCGCTCTGTGTAGGATACGAGTAAAGGACACGAGTATAAGACGTTAGTGTTGGCTCTACAGAGCTGGATCACTCGTGAACTATGAATGGTGAATATATGACTGGATATGTGTATTGTAATTTTGTTAAGTCTTTATTAGTATAATAATTGTTATTTCATTCCAACACATACCATCACAAAGCTAAGCTTATCTCACTTTTTACACATACTAATCCATCAGGAACCTCAAGCTGGGCGCTACAGACTTCTGTGTACTTCGGGAAATTCACGCTCTGCCTTTCTAAACTCCTTCCCGAAGGTCGTGCTGAAATGTCAGAAAAGTCTTGACAGAGCGTGATTGCTGTATGGCAGCTTAGCCCAACATCTTTTGTGCCGTCCAGGGCGCTGGGGAGTGCCGTCGACTCATCGACAATTAAAGTCCTCCTGGCAAATTAGCCAAATCTCGGTCTTGGCGGCCACAAGCGTTCGAAAGTTGGAAAAGCCTCGAAAAAATCGGTTGCAGCATGCTCTTCAGAGACCTCATCACCCTTTCGCTCCACATCTCAGCCGCCTGTGCCTCCTCAAAATGTATAACCCTATTAGTGCATCAGTCCCCCAAAAGCCAAGACCTAGGCTTTGTAATTTTTGAAATGATTTCCTCCTTGCGGGTATGAATAGCGTCGTAGATATGTAGTGAGAGATGGCTGGAAATTAATGGAGCAAGCTCCTGTATGCAATTGGGGCAACTTCTTTATTGGTCGGCGAGGCGAGATGATGCGTGGTTAGAAAGAGGTTGAGGACTTAGATGATAATGATAAGAGAGGCATTATCGAGAAGTCGTCAAATGGAGATGTGCATGAGGTTGCTTTCGACTTCGATTCGGATACGGTTCTTCTGGGCTATCCCAGATATGCAGAGCATACTGAGCGATTACACCGGCAACACTGGAAGGTGAAGAATTCGTCTTTGCCGGCTGATGGAAAGTGGATTAGTTGGGTAAGTTCATGTATGGGATGTACACAACTCTATAGGGGTTAGATTCAAAGTTTCGATAAGGGGTTTTGCAAATTGAGCATTTCTTTTATTTTTTTACTTTTGGTCCTAAGCTAACGCTATCTTTTCCACATTGGGTCAAGGACCGGTGGAGCCGGCAAGGATCACTGCGTACAGGCCCAACTCATTCCAACCGCATGAACTTCTACTGAAATTGTAGAAGTTAACAGCAAAACTAAAATCAAAAACTGAAATCAAATTTGGAAGAAATACTGTTTGGTCCGGATCCTGCGCTTCTCGCCCTTTCCCTTTCCCGCCACATCTTCCACGTGACTCTTTCTTATCTCCACTAAGAGCGAAAGATTAGTTCGCAGATAACCTGAATTCAGCTGGTATCCTGCTTTATATTTTTAAGCTTTTTGTAGACTTCACCGAGGGTTGCTGTACCCTCAAACTTCTTCTTTGGATTCCAGGATTCCGAAACCCGATTCCTCGGCCATCGAGACATCCTTCGTTGAGGCCATCGTTGCCTCTTCGGCCCTTTTGGCTGCAGCCCTAAATCGAGCCACTTTTGCGAACTCCCCTTGCTGGATCTGGCAGATCTGCGCGAGCTACTCTTTTGTCACCGGTCCGGACTTGCTGGGTCTGGCTAAGCAGGCCCGGGAATCCGATCGGTGAGGTCCCCCACAGTTTCGACACCGGGTGAGGGCCTTGCACTCTGATTCTGAGTGCATATTAGATCCGCAATTCCAGCAAGCTGGAGCGCGGGAACAACCACGGGTGGCGTGAAATTCAAGACACCGTTTGCATTGTTCGATTTTGCGACGAGGTCGGAAGAGCTTTGCAGCTCCAGAGTCGTCGAAAAGGCGGAATCCAGGTCGAGGAGCGGATTCTCGGGGAAATAGCGCTTGCCAATTTGAGTAGGGCGCCCCTGGTTTGCTAGTCCCATGAGGACGAACCAGAAAGGGAACCAACTGGGTCACTCGCGTGACTTCGTCGGCAACCATCTTTGCCGTCACGGCGATTGGGCCAGCAAGAGTTCGAATTGTCTCCGGGACGGTGGCAATTTGCATGGCAACCAGATTTGATGCTGGTTCCAGGTGTATGTCTGGATCTCTCCGCAGTGCGGAGGAATCTAAGAGCTCCTTTCGAGAAGCTTCGTTCTTTACTGTGATAGCAAAGCCGGTCTTTACCCGCTGAACCAACGTAATATCATTAGCAGCGGTTCCCAGCGCCAGAGACACAGCTGACCTAATGTCAGCTGGGGAGAGGAGACGGTGGGTTGGAAGTAGTCGAGGCGCAGAAAAAGTCGTGAATCGACTTTTGTCCTCGGGTTGGCACTCTTTGCTATGGGGGCGGGCGGTGCTGCCTTTTTTGTCGACTGCCCAGCGCTGCGGGCTAGGCCTCCCCGAGCTACGGTAACCCAAGTTGTCTTCGGGGCCGGAGCCTGGGTTGTCGGAGGGTCAGGAACCCTTATTTCTGGTGCCCTCGGCGGAAGAGGGTTGGCGGGGCGAGCAGGGAGAACTGGTGGTGTGCTCCCTGGGCCAGATTGTACGAACTGGCCGATGGCCGCAAATTGAGCATTATGCGTTACATTACTTCGTTTAAGGCACAGATTAGATTATAATTATTTTACAGTCCTATCTGAGTCTTTGACTATATAGGACCTCTAGAATCTATGTGATAGAGTTTAGCTACATTGAAGTATTTTTTCTAATCAATTCAACTTGTGTTCTCATATACAGTGGGAGCCAATCCCAGTATATCGACTTAGGCAAAGTTGAATAGTGAATCGAAACATTATTTGGGCCGGTCTCTCAACTGAATACTGGATTCTGGATAGATTTGACACATCCCACTCGAGATGGGAGATCAATGGTTCCAATCTGGCAAACCACAACAACTTTTCTCGCGTCGCTGGTGTACGTAAATGAAGAAAAGATGCTTGGATATTGACAGATTTTTTCAACGTCCCTTTGCCGGCTGATCAAGGAGGGTCGACTGTTAACGTAAGCAAACATACTTCAGTGGTATTCGCGAATGGAATCCAGAGTGTGAGTGCCCCTAGTATCAAAAGAGTCATCTAATATGTGTACATAGCACCGGTCATGTGCCATAGCTAGATAGCTGCATTTAAGTTAATTAAATTAACATAAACCTTGTTTCAGAGCCCAATGGAGTAGAATTCTGACTTCTTGTGTTGAGTTACATCTGAGAAATAGAAATGTTTGCAGTGGGACTTATCGAAGATCCATAAACGCACCTGGGAACTTTACCTAGATCTTGAACACTATTAGGCCCATTAAACGTGGAGTGTCGTCATTACAAAGACTGAAACTCAATCGTTTATATTTGGGCCAAATCCCTGCATGCCACGCCTTAAGGTATGTGGCACGCGTCAAAATTCTGCTCGAGGTCATTGCCCCAAATCCATGTTGATTTTGGCTATCACACACCCTCGCGCCCATGAATTACAGTGTATCGTTTTTTAGATATCGGCGATCGCTCATCAATAATAAAGCGGTACATGAAGAATTTATCTTTTTAATATACATAATAGCTTATATGCACAATAGATCCTGAGTACGCCCATTATTCGCTTTTTGACAAAATTATCTCCTGAGAATCGTATTCGAACTAAATCTGCGCCTCTAAAGCCCCCCAAAAAATTCAAACAAGTTAATAGTCAAACTGAAATTTCACTAAATGAAACGAAAGCTATATCTATTCCAACGCATGCTGACTTCCCACAACTGCCCAAAAGCATATTTTCTGAGCCCTGGGTAACGAAAAATTGGCTTACATTATCCGAGCTAGGCAAAGTGATCGAGGGAAGTACTCTAAATAGCAGACGAGAAAAGGGGGTTCACCAATGGAGGTCTACATATACCTGGATATCAAAAGACGGCAAAAAGTATGTTGGCACCTGCTCCACGGGATCAAAGATCAAAGCTCGCAAGACCTCAGCCAGCCAACTATTAGCTATCTTAGGCAAAAATGGAGTACTGGCCGAAATTTCCAAAGAACTAGAAGATACTGAGAAAGAAAGAAAAAAACTTCAAAAAGAGATGGAAGCTATTGGTCCCCGAGGAAAGCTTGAAATTTACAATTATGCTGCAAGCTATCTTTCAATACCGCAAGTTAAGATAATTTCACACACGCACGGGAACAAATTTGGTACAAGTAAAGCCAAGTATACTGTGTCAATCGAGCTTGAGGAACAAAATATCTTTGTGGAAGCCTCAGGAAATAAAATTTCATTGACAGAAATTGAAGCTTGTCTTCAATTCAAAAAAGCTGTTGAAGAATATCACCGGGAAAAGAGCCCCTCAAGCTCTTCAAACTCTCATGATTATATCCCGGGTACCAGCAGCAATAACGCTAGCCTTGTCTTAAATCACCTGCAAGCGAAAGATTTTATCTTCTATTGTAAGCAACTATTACCAAATTCATCTGTTATAACACTGAAAAGTGGAAATTTACCAAACATTAAGCACGAAGCTGGAAACCTACTACATTCTTGTCAAGTCATGTTGAATGGTGACCCTATTGGAACAGAGACCTTTGCACCAAAATATAAAGATGCTGAAATCCTAGCATACCTTACAGGTGCAGTAGATTTAGCTAAAAAATATCCTGAAATTCTAAAACAGTTCTTCAATGCAAATAGAGGGGTCAGCGGGAAAATAGTTGATGCTTTGATTCCTGTTCCGTTTAAAATCAGTCACGACTTACTCTCATTTATCTCAAAGGTGACGAGACCAATTCTTAGCGCCCATGTAGACGAGCCCATCGATCCTAGAATAGAAGCAGATCAGGATTATCTTAAATTTCGACGCTCCTTTTCCCAAAAACTTGGAGCTGACGAGATCACTACCCGGAATAGGCACTTGAGGACGAAATATGAGGCATACCTTCGAAACTCATCATTTCAAACGATTAGAGAACTAAGAGCTAGTCTACCTATGAATATGTATCGAGATGATGTGCTGCGACTTATTGACCAGAATACATATAGTGTCATCGTAGGAGAAACAGGCAGTGGAAAGACAACTCAAGTTCCAGCGATTATTTTGGAGGATGCAACTCTTCGTGACATGGCTTCAAATGTCAACATAATCTGCACCCAACCAAGACGTATTGCTGCACAATCTGTAGCAAGACGTGTAGCGTATGAGCGCGGTGAGAAGCTTCAGGAAACCGTTGGATATCATGTGCATATGGATGCCAAACGCCCCCCAAGTGGTGGAAGCATCACCTATTGCACAACGCAGATCCTTCTTAAGCAACTTCAGCACTGTCCAGATGAAGTCATGGATTCAGTTTCACACATTATTGTTGATGAGGCGCATGAGAGAGACATTCCAATCGATTTCTTATTAATTACCTTAAAAAAATTATTACATGCCAGGCAGGCCATCGGCAAGTCAGTACCAAAAGTGATAATCATGAGTGCGACTTTAGACATTTCATTATTTGCTAGTTATTTCGGTCAGGTTGGAGAAGATGGAATCATGAGACCATGTCCATCAATTAGTGTTCCCGGGAAAACCTATCCAGTGGAGAAAAAATACCTTGATGATGTAATTGATGAGTTGAACCGTAATTATCGCAAGTCTAATTGTCTAGATTCTTGTAAGGATACGCAAAGATACCTTCAGATTGAGGATGACCTGAAAAAAGAGCCCAGTATGGACTTCAACTGGAAAAAAATACGAGATGGAGTTGCAGGAGCTTCAAAAGAGAACGAGGATTCTTTGATACCCTATAATTTAATAGCTACAACAATCGCACATATTTCAAAGTCTAATTCTGACGGGGCTATTCTAACGTTCCTACCTGGTCTAAAAGATTTAGAGGAAGTACGTAAACATCTACTACAGGATCCTTTGGGAGTCAATTTTTCTAATGCTTCTGAATATCGGATTATTCTTCTTCATTCTCTTATGACAGAAGCACAAAACATAGTTTTTGAACAACCCCCCGCCGGATGTAGAAAGATAGTTCTTGCCACCAATATTGCAGAAACTTCAATTACAATACCTGATGTGAAGTATGTAGTCGATACAGGGAAGCTTAATGAGATGCATTACGATCCTATGACTCGTATCAAAAACCTTAAATGCACCTGGATCAGCAAATCCAACTCAAGGCAACGGGCCGGACGAGCTGGTCGTGTCCAAAATGGCTTTTATTACGCACTCTTCTCCAAGAATCGGCTGGATACGCTAAGTGTTTACGGGGTCCCCCAACTTCTTCGCTCTGATCTGCAGGAAGTTTGTCTTGGTACCAAGGGCCTGACACTGAACTACTCGATCAAAGATTTTCTATCTGATGCGGTAGAGAAGCCTCCTCCTGAAGCTGTTGACACAGCTATTAAGGATCTAATAAATCTTGGCGCGCTCACCAAAGATGAAGAAATTACGCCCCTTGGGAAACTACTGCACTCCCTCCCTGTTGACCCTGATATGGGAAAACTGATCGTTTTTGGCGTGATATTTCGATGCTTTGACCCACTTCTAATGCTGGCAGCTGCCAGCTGTGAACGCGACTTTTTTGTGCGTCCCCCGTTAAAAAGAAGGGAAGCAGATGCCGCCCGTCGATACTTTGGTCGCAATAGCAATAGTGATATCATTGCTCTGATAAATGCCTATCGTGAAGCACAAGAAATTAGAAGAAGAGGGCGATACTCAGAATTCGCAGCTTTTATGTCGCAAAACTTCTTGAGTACAGCTACATTTGAAAATATTCAGAAAAGAATGATTCAGATTAAGGAAGTTCTTGTTGCTTCAGGGCTCTTACCTAGACCTAGTATGAAGATGTATCGCCCTGATGATCGTGTTGATAATTTAGTCAATGAGAATTCTGGTAATCAGAATCTTATACGAGCTCTTTCTCTTGCGCGCTGTCCGGGAAATTTGGCGGTACGAATTGGAAGTACTTCGAAGTTTCGCACTAAGACAGAGGGGGACATTCTGATTAGATCTGGCTTAAATGCTATTCGCTCAGCCTCCTCGAGCCATTTGCCAAAGAATGCGCTGATCTCGTATACAAGTATGCACAAGGATGACAATCAAACTCTCTGTCTAAGAAACACTACTGTCATCAGTCCTCTCACAGTAGCACTCTTTGGGGGACCGCTTTCACAGAAAGGTGCAAACCTCAGGACTGATGAGTGGATTTCTTACAGATTAAACACTAATAGTGATAATTTGACCGCCTTGAAATGCATCTCCAATTTGAGAAGTGGCCTCGCCAAAATGCTATCCATGTCCTTCATGGATCTCGCTCAGCGAAAGAGTCTTGTTGATGATAACACTCGGCGAGATTTTAGCAGCGCAATTGCATCGGTTCTAAATCGCTCAGAAACCGAGATAGCTCCGTATAATTTTGAGAAGCAGCCATACTATAGCCTCGGTGCTGGTACTCGAGATATCTTATGGCGCACTAACCCTAGGCTAGCTTCTAGCTCAGGCCAGAGACCATAGCGATCTGAAGTCGCATTGCTATATTTTGGATTGAATTGTCTAGTGTCATCAGGAGTTGTTACTTTGGATCTGAATATGGGGCAGCTATGTAGATTAGAATAATGTCATAATTTGAAAGGCCCTTTTTAGCTGTCCAAGACGTGGCTGGTCTCAAATATTTACCCTTGGTATTGAAATGTATAACCCACTACTTAGTTCGTGGACTTTATTGGTAAAGGGAAGCTTATGCAATAATAAAGGATAAAAGGATGTCAATTCGACTACTCTATTAAACACAGGTACCAGACTCCTTTTAACCCCAATAGATAGCCCGTGCGGGATCTCCTATTAACAGCAGTAAACAACGCTAGCACAGGGTATACGCAATCTCCATTCGCCAAACACCAGTCGGTCGGGACTACTGATTATCGAGCCTAGTAGGATCGATAAAGTGTATCCCAACACAGAAATAATAGAAAACTCAACAACCAAACCCTTCATCAATTACTTCCATTAACCATCACCTGACTTATCTCTGTACTCCATAATTTCAACACTCCCCCACAGAGCAAGTTGCGGTGATTCTGGTTTTACTACATAACAACTCCTAGCTGTGATTTAAATTTTTCGAAATTAATCCTTAACAGGGGCTTCGTCATACCATCTGCAACCATATCTATAGTAGGGATGTATGTAACATCAAGTTTCCCTCTCTCCGCTAGATCTCTGGTATGATGATAACAGATGTCTATGTGCTTAGATCGCTCGTGAAGATGGGGGTTTTTGACAAGGGCAAGCGCCCCTTGATTATCGCCCAACATATGAACTTTCTGAGGATTTGCTCCAATATAGTCAGGACATCCCAAGTCTCTGAATATTTGGGCAATCCACTGGCCTTGTTTTGCACAAGCAGAGAGTGCTACGTATTCTGATTCACAAGTGGATGTGGCTACTGATCGTTGTTTTTTACTAGACCAGGAGATAGGGCCACCGTAAAACATTGCTACACTTCCAGATACACTTTTTCGGTCAGACCTGTCACTTGCCCAGTCAGCATCGGAATAGATCACGAAATGTTTATGCGCTCCCCCAGGTCCGTAACGCAGTTTCTGGGTGACAGTTGATCGCAGGTAGCGAAACAATTCTTTTAGCGCATGACCATGATGTTCTACTGGATCAGTCATAAATTGAGATAGCTTTCCAAGAACGAAAGCGATATCCGGTCGCGTTAACACCATAGCGAACATTAAGCTTCCGATGCCTTGTTGATATTCTGTGACATCTATCCTCTTATCCTCTTTACTTGCGGGACGAATTAACTCATAGTCGGATGCTGGAATTTTCTTCGCTTTAAATTTGTCTGCCGTCATTCCAAATCTTTCAAGCACCGACCTCAAATATTGCTCTTGATCAATAAAGATGGTACGTTCTATACGCTTTCTCGTTACCCTCATTCCAAGTATCTTTTCAATCTCCCCCAGATTCTTGGCATGGAAACGAGAAGAGAGCTTACTGAAGAACCAGTCTAGCTCACTAGTGGACTTGGCAGCTGCAGCAATATCGTCAACGTATACAAGTAACTCAATTTGCCTCTCTTTTTGGATAAATAAACATGGGTCTGCAAGGCTTTGGACAAACCCCCATTGTACTAGATGGGTTTTGCAGAGCACATTCCAGTCTCTTGCAGCTTGTTTGAGTCCGTATAAGCTGCGCAATGCTTGTAGCGCATGGCCCTTTTTAACAGGGACGCCTTTTGGTGGGGATAGGTATATTTTTTCTTTTAGATGAGATTCCGTGAATGCGTTTTTAATATCATAGTGATTGCACTCTAAATTTTCTCTTGCCACCCTGGCGAGAAATATGCGTAGAGTGTCCATTCGAACGGTCGGGGCAAAAGTTTCCGTATAATCCTTACCTTGAATCTGGCTGAATCCACGGGCCACTAATCTTGCCTTAAATCTCTCGATGGATCCATCTGTGTTAAGTTTGATAGTGAAGACCCATTTTGTAGAAACCATGTTTGCATCAGGTGGTGGAATGGTTTCCTTCCAAGTGCCATTTTCTACTAGGCTGATTATTTCTTGCTCGATAGCTGATTTCCACTCTTCATTATACTTCGGATCATTTATAGCCTGAGAATAAGTTTTAGGTATATTTATACCAGCAATAATTTCGGCCGGGTATGAATACTCCAATAAATTTAGTTCATCATTTTACTCGAGGACTTTGGCAGCAAATGCCCTTGCAATTTTCTTGTGGCGCTCTTCATCTTCATCTAGTATATCATCGCTCTCAGATTTCTTTCGCTTTGACCTTGTGAAGTAGCGTGGTTGCTCAGGATATTTCTCAGCACTTAATGATGATTTTTTGGATGGTTGAAACGGTGCATCAATGGATATATGATCTAGGTCTGGAGCAGTAAATTCTCTTTTTATGGTAATTTTAGACCGGGATGGATACGGCGAACAGTTCTCATGGGCGGGCTTCTCAGATTTCTCAAATACTTCACTTAACTTTGTTGGTGCAATTTTGGGTTCGGGAGAGATCCCAGATAAATTGAACTGATTGCTGTCAGAAACATGTAAATTATTTGCGGATTTTTGAGCTGAGATTAACGGATCTATTATCGTAGGAGATTTAGTTCCAGGTTCCTCAGGTTCTTGCTCGATCACATCTGTGGGTTCTGACAGCTTAATGGAGATTTTATTTGCCTCTAGATGTACAGTAGCGTGAGAGTTTATCGCCTGCTCATTGGATTCTGATTCTTTACTATTTTTGCAGTTTTCACTCTTTTCACTATTTTCATGCATTTCATGCATTTTTTCTTCTGTTTTCTTAATTGAACTATCTTGAGCTGGCATTTCTACAGTTAGAGCATCTGTTACTGGAGTATCAAGAGATGGGTTCTCTGTTTCTAGAACAATTGAATCTGATAATTGCTTGGTCGATCCGGAGTGCTGTAGATTGGCGTTAATAGTAACAGATGGATTATCTATGTCATTTCTAGGTCTACCACGGGGCTTACGGTCGTCAAAATTGTTCGCTGTACCTTGAGGGCCTGTCGTGCAGTTTCGAAATCGTAGTTCTACCGTTCCACCTTTAATGTGTTCCATAACATTGAGCCTACTAGTCCTTGATGTGTATCCAAGTTCGGGATTATAAACGCGCAATTGTTTATTTGTCGTATCACTGTAGCCCATGAATACACCAACTCGCCCCCTATCAACCAGTTTATCTGTTCTTTGCCCTTTGGCTATGGTGTGAGGGTTGATATACGAGATACATTTACTCCCCCAAACTGCAATATGGCTAATGTCAGGTCGGATACCAGTAAATGCCTCTTCAGGGCTCACTTGTATTCCATCTATTACGGGGCCTGTTTGGGTGCGGTTTCGAATATACACATCGGTTTCTACAGCTTCGTCCCAAAATTCAAGTGGCAAATCTGCGTCCTTAAGCATTGCTCTCATGCTATTTTCGCATGTTTGAATACTTCGTTCCGCAGGCCCATTTTGGCTAGATGTTCCGATTGTGGTTGGTTCTGAACGAGTTCCTTGTTCTAGTGACCACTTTGAGATGACTTTTTGAAGTTCAGCCGCATTATCAGAACGTACAGCCTTTATCTTTTCTCCTGATTGTAGCTGCACAGAAGTTTTCCATTGGTCAAGAGCTGAAAATGCTTCACTCTTTGTTTTACAACATAGAGCCCATAACTTTCTAGAGAAATTGTCTAGTATTATTATAAAATATTTATTTCGCGAATGGACGGTGGAAATGGGCCGGCTATATCAAAATGTATCAAGGCTAATTTTGTGAGCTTCCAAGGCGAAAGTTTCTTAGATGTAAGATTTCTCATCTTTGTCAATAGGCAAGTTTCACATACGCGCTCTTCTTTAGAACTAGGAACTTTGATCGGACGTGAGAGATTTGTGACTAGGTGTAAGTTTCTAAGCTTTTGGGGACCGAGATGAGCAAATCTTCGGTGATAGAGTATGTATCTTTCTCTTTCTTTACTTGTGAGCTCTTTGCTATCTAAAAGTTCCTCGTCAACAATCATTTCATCCGCAGTTTGGTCAGGATTTGTCGCTTGAAGTGCTTGGTCATGATCCACGTTGTTGATATGAGATACTATATAAAGCCCATTACGCATTGTAGCAGTTATAGTTGTACGATTTTTTCTTTTGAAGTACATGTGATTCTCATCAAAGGCACCTTTCAGTCCTCCATGGCGGCAGATTTGTCTACTTGACATCAAATTGATCCCGAGCGATGGTACATATAGTACATCTCGCAGGTACATAGAAGATCCATCTTCACATGTCATTTTAACATCGCCTTTTATTCGTGCGTACAATTTTCCTCCTCCCACCATGATAGTTCGCCGTGGAATATGCTTTAGCGATCTGAAAAGAGATAAATCGTCAGACATGTGTGTAGAAGCGCCGGTATCACTGGCCCAAGTAGATGGAGTAGCCTTACTGATAAGTGCTCGAGATATCTGAGCGTGTTCGTGGGTTAGAACATCTGAATCTAAATCCGAATCTTCTTCAACTTCCGAGTCAGAATTCGTACAAGCTTCATATGCCCTGTCCTTGCCTTTGAAGCCAGCCTTCTTTTCCACTTTTTTCGGGTATCGAATTTGTGAAGGAGAACAGGCCTGAGAAAACAAAGAACGACCTGCATCCCTCTGCTTCGGTGTAATGCGAATGGATTTTGTTGTTCTAATGTATTCATGGACAGCATCTTGTGCGACCTCCATAAAAGGGCAGGCTTTGATAAAATGTCTTCTTCCACATAAGTAGCACGGTGGAGAATATCCTGAATCTTCGCTCTGTTCTGAGGTTGTTCGTAAGTCTCTCGAGGATCGGTTCTTATCATTTTTGAAGCTAGGAAATGCATTCTCATTACGCTGGCTTGAGATAAGACGACTCTCTTTGGCTTGAAGCCGCTTTAATTTTTCTTCCACTGGAAGCTCTTTCATAGCGTCAAGAGTGTCAATTGTTGCAACATACTCCTTCGGA